GGCGTCGAGACATGCGTTCAACAGGTCCTCGTCGCTCTCGGGTGCGTCATTAGCCGCGACACGACGGAGAAGAATTTTAAGCAAGTCGTGAAATTTACACTGTTCGCGACAGAGAATGTCCTGCAGTATCCAGAACCTGGCATCGTCCACCCTGGTCAGAATTGAATTAATGGTGCTCGCACGCCACGATGGGAAAAAAACATGTGGCACAAACTGTAATGTACGGTAACCGTCACTTATTGCAGTAGAGGATGATCCCAATCCTTGAGACGGTGTGCCGAGGAGGTATACCGTTGGCGTAGCGACCCTGGAAGGTGTGGCGGGCGGGTCAGTGGGCGATGGATTTGGGGCCATCTATGAATAAGATCAAGATGAACTGTTATGATGAGTTGTGGGCGAGAGAGAGAAGCTAGGATGAGGAAGTAGAACGTCGCGCGCACCCTCTATGTACAGAGGCAGGGCGAAGCAGACTAGGAGTGGCACATTCTCAGAGTATATGCGGCGTGCGATGTGGCCCGTGTGGCTTGGAATTTATTTCCATTTTGTTTCTCTTGAATCTACGTAGGACTTAAGGGTAAATTGTTGCATTACTGTTCGGTGAAACAACGGATTTCATATCGACTGCCGGAGGGCCACCAGGTCGTTCTCGAGCTTCTGAAGATCAGTACATGCTATCATATCGCACATCTCCCCATGGCGCTATTGCCCAAAATAGGACCAAGTTGGGTGAAATTGACATGGAAAATCATCTTACTAGGCTACCCAGAAATGCCGACCGACTGCGATTTCAAGTTCACGTCTGTTGATGGACTTGTTCATAGCGTGTCTGTAAAGAGCAATGTAAGTACGGTGGTACCAGCGCCTTGATGCGATGGGACGAGCCGAGGACAGAAAGCCACGTCAGCCACAGCGGAGTGTGAAAGCGCGCAAACCCGCTGGAGCCAGGCTTGACGCAAGTGCGAGCCGGTCACTGCAACTCGCTGCCACCATGTAAGTCTCGGCTCGTCTTGCCCCTCCGTTGTCGTTGCTCACTCGTCGTAGGGTCCTGGTCAAGGTCGAGTCCTCGGACATTGCTGCCGCCACGTTGCATGTCGCGCTGCCGTGGCAATTGCACCTCTACACTCTGCCCTGTCTCTCGCTTTACCCGCTTCTTGCCTACGCGTACTACATCAAGTATGATGACTGGCTTCAGAGCGAAGAATGGACCTTTCTTGCCTGTGTCACCGTAGGAGTCACGCATGGCCTCAGTTTCCTCTCCACGAGATGGAGTACTAACGCTCAAGCCCTGATCACAACTCGTGAGGTCTGTGTTTTCCGTACTTCCTCTGTCCCTTGATCGTCCCAACTCTTCATGGCTACTTAGGCGGTATCTCTGCAAACTGCCAACCGCATCCGTCTTATACCTGAAGCCCATCGAGGTCGCGGAGAGATTGTTCCTTTAATCAAGAAGCATGCAGAGGGCCCGGATCGCTTCACATTTAGCTACCAACGTGACACTTACCTCCTTACCTCCTCTAATCCCATCACGTTCGCGCGGCTGCCATACCCGTGCTCGGACCGCCCATCACTGGCAAATTTCAAGTCTCCGAGCGGTCTGTCTTCCGCTGACATCGGCAGCCTTCTTCCCTTGTACGGTAAAAACGAGTTCGATATTCCCATACCCTCATTTACAGCCCTTTTTTCCGAACACGCGACCGCGCCATTCTTCGTCTTTCAGATATTCTGCGTCGCACTGTGGTGCCTCGATGAATACTGGTATTACAGCCTTTTCACGCTCTTTATGCTGGTGGTCTTCGAATGTACAGTCGTTTGGCAAGTGCGTATGCTCCCTCCGCGCCTACTGACCTGCCTGAAATCTCATACATTCCCCTGCAGCGTTTGAGGACATTGACCGAGTTCCGGACGATGTCCGTCGCCCCGTACCCCATACAGTGCAGGCGGGACGGCAAATGGGCGACAATCCAAAGCGATGAGTTATTGCCCGGAGACGTAGTCTCAGTTGGTGAGACTTCTCATGAGCTGCGCGCGCGCCCATCTTGACATGGTGTTTGTTAGCTAGACACCAAACGGAAACCAACGTTCCTGCAGATGTTCTCCTCATACAGGGGACGTGTATTGTCAATGAGGCCATGCTCTCCGGAGAGTCAACACCTTTGCTCAAGGAATCCATCGCATTGCTCGAGACAGCGGAGCGACTTGATGTAGATGAAGCTCACAAAAATTATGTTCTTTTCAGTGGCACTAAACTTTTGCAAGCCGACGGTGGTTGGTATCTATACAGGTACAATTATATGATCTCTGACGCCCTTGTCTAGGAGAAACTCCCGATGGCGGATGTCTCGGCGTAGTGCTTCGCACTGGATTCGGCACGGCTCAAGGGCAGCTCGTACGCACCATGATCTTCTCGACCGAGCGCGTCACTGCGAACAACTTGGAATCTTTCCTGTTTATCGGATTCCTGCTGATCTTTGCCATTGCGGCCAGCTGGTATGTATGGGTCAAGGGTGAGTTTCCGTGGCCTTTTTCAGTTGTTGATAACAAATACGAATCCGTAACAGGCATCGAGCGCGACTTGAAGAAATCCAAGTTACTTTTGGATTGTATTCTGATCATTACTAGCGTTGTTCCGCCTGAGTTACCCATGGAATTGTCAATGGCCGTAAATGCATCATTGGCCGCTTTGTCTAAATATGGTATGCGCACATTTTTTGCGCTGCAGGGAAAATACTCATATTTGCATCAAGCCATATTCTGTACTGAACCGTTCCGCATACCATTCGCAGGCCGCGTGGATGTTTGTTGCTTTGATAAGACAGGCACAATCACTGCAGAAAACTTGGTAGTCGAAGGCGTTGTGGGCGTTGAGTACGTCGCTAATTTTCTCAATTCAAAAATATCACTTGTTCACTACGTCGGAACAGCCGTTCAGATAGCATCAAGCTTGTTCGTGTGAACGAAGTCAGCAAAGAGACGACATATGCGCTTGCTGCTGCGCATGCGCTGGTCAAGCTTGATGAGGGTACTATTGTCGGTGACCCCATGGAGAGGACGACGTTAGATGCTCTCCAGTGGAAAATCAACAAAGGTCCGTATGGACCCCAGCTCATGCTCATGGGTACCATGCTAACGAATATACACAGGAGATATTGTTGCGCCTGCCGACTCCACTGCGCCGCATCATACCACCCTTACAATTCGTCGACGCTTCCCATTCTCCTCCGCGCTGAAGCGAATGTCTACCGTATCGAGTCTACCTGGTGGCAAATCTATTGTTGCTGTGAAGGGTGCTCCCGAGACGCTCAAAACCATGTTAGCCTCTGTTCCCGAGTTTTACGATCGGACGTACAAGTGGTATACGCGCAGAGGTAGCCGAGTACTTGCGTTAGGTTTCAAAGAAATGGGTGTGCTAACTCAAGACAAGGTGTGTTCTCTCAATCTATGAAACTGATTAGACACCCTCATCTGTTGTGAATGACGCAGATCAATAAACTTTCTCGTGGTGATGTTGAGAGCTCCCTCGCCTTTGTGGGCTTTTTGATATTCCATTGCCCCCTGAAGCCAGACGCTGTCGAGACGCTGAAGATGCTAGGGGATTCCTCGCATCGGGTACGTAGCCCGCCGTGTACATCATACAAGGACTAACTGCAGATTCGCAGTGCATAATGATCACTGGCGACAATCCTCTCACTGCAGCGCACGTCGCACGCGAAGTCGAAATTGTTGACCGTGATGTCCTCATACTGGATTTGAAAGAGAATGCTGTCAACGAGAAAGGTCCGTTTCAATGACCTTCCTCTTCATGCGACTACTGATGCACAGATGCAGATCTTGCTTGGCGTACCGTGGACGAATCCAAAGTGATACCAGTTGACCCATCTCAGCCACTCGACGTTTCCCTATTCGACACTTTCGATATATGTGTCACGGGAGCTGCTCTCAAACAGTATGAGAACACTCCTGGATGGAATGATTTGGTTCAAAATACCTGGATCTATGCGCGAGTCTCTCCATCGCAGAAGGAGATGATTCTGACTAGCCTGAAGTCGCTTGGATACGTGACTCTAATGGCCGGTGATGGAACCAACGATGTCGGCGCATTGAAGCAAGCGCACATCGGCGTAGCTCTCCTGGACGGAACTCCCGAGGACTTGCAGAAGATCGCCGAGCACCAGAAGCTGGAACGCGTCCGAAAGGTGTACGAAAGTCAGCTCAAAATCTCGGCCCGTTTCAGCCAACCTCCACCCCCTGTTCCTGCTGCGATCGCGCATATGTACCCGGATGTTGTCGCTGCCCAGAAGCAGGCTGCCACCCAGTTCCAAAGCGCTAGGAAGCAGAACCCCATGGAAAAGGTTGGTCGCTACCTACAGTCAAACTGACGCCGCCCTAATATATATATTGTTTTAGTTTGATTTGGCAACCATCACCGACAAACTTGCAACGATGGAGGACGAAGATGATGTTCCAAAAATCAAGCTGGGAGACGCTTCTTGTGCTGCGCCATTCACGTCCAAGCTTTCAAACGTTTCAGCAAGTGAGCTTCGTTCATTGGTATCTATGACGGGGATTATTTCTAATCATCTGTGATACACAGTCAGTCACATTATTCGTCAAGGCCGGTGCACGCTCGTCGCAACTATCCAGATGTATAAGATTCTCGCTCTGAACTGTCTCATTACCGCGTACAGCTTGAGTGTTCAGTATCTGGATGGCATCAAATTTGGTGATTACCAGGTGACGATCTCTGGCATGCTCATGTCTGTGTGCTTCTTGTGCATCTCTCGCGCGAAGGTACGCATCGAGTTTGACATGTCTGCGTTTCCGGCTGACACGGTTACTTAACAGCCCATAGAAAAGCTATCACGAGAGCGTCCTCTAGGAAACATCTTCAATCTTTACGTGATGTCGTCTATTCTCGCGCAGTTTTCGCTCCATATCGTATCATTAGTTTACATCACCAGTCTGTGCCGTCAGTTTGAAGAGTGAGTGCATCTTGCTCTCACTTTGCTGGCCATACTTAAAGTCTTGTTCCTACAGACTGGGCCCCATTGATCTTGAAGCCAAATTTGAGCCCAACCTCTTGAACACTGCTATTTATCTCCTCGGACTCTCACAGCAAGTTTCGACGTTTGTGATCAATTTCCAGGTTTGTTTGTCTCGTCCATTGTATTGTCCACGTCGTGACCCTTTCACCAGGGACGTCCCTTCAGGGAAGGTATACGGGAAAACTCGGCACTCTTCTGGGGACTCGTTGGGGCTAGCGCTGTAGCGTTCTCCGGCGCCACGGACTTTATGCCTGAGATGAACCGATGGCTGCAAATCGTGGAAATGACCGACGTGGTGCGTGAAGCGAACTGACGCTTTCCTCGCGTGCTTAAAAGCGCTGACGGCCGTGACCAGTTCAAATTCAAGCTGACCAGCACCATGATCATTGACTTTGTAGGCTGTTGGCTGATTGAGGTCACGTCCAAGCACCTGTTCGCAGAGCTTGAACCAAAGGCGATGATAACTCGGGGCAGGGAGCGAAGAGAAGCTAGACGGAAGCTGGAGGTGGAGCACGCGCAGGCGAGTGCACAGGAGAAAAAATCTCAATAAGTGTAGACATTCCGTTCGCTCTTATTTTATCAGCCATCTGCTAGATCGCAACTAGTGGGTATTACACATTAACATGAGCATACGACTGCGGGTGCATATAGACTATCTTTATGCCTTGTTCACAATATCGTTGTACTGTGCGTTCTCTGAGTGTCTGTATGTGAAGTGCGGATGCGTGGGTGCTCACCTGTACAATCATTGAAACCGGCCAAGACGTCACTCGGCCCTTGGGGCTGAGGTACAGGTACTGCAACGAACCATCTGCCTGGGGCTCGACGAACCTACATAGATAGATGAGACATTGGACTAAAGGGTCAATGTCGACACGCACTGATTGAGGCGACCTGCGGGTCCTGCTGATCGCTGTAGGCCGCTCAAACTGAAAACGACTTGGATGACCCGGCACATTGTCTTTATAGCGCGGGAGGTTACTGCTGGCCGACTAGCGCGACATTTCAAGCAGACTTACTAAGTCAAACAGCTCAGGACGCAGGAACCTGTCCACAGCACGAGGGGTGAGTGGAATCCAGTCTGCGGAGATGCTCATCACACGCACCCAGTCTGCGCTGAAGAGTAGATGCTGGGCGCCGATGCGGCGTGCACCTGTCTCAAAGGTTAGCAACAACATAGCCGTCTCCAGTTATGGACACGCACGGCGGCCTGGGAGTCTGTAGTGGAGACGATGAGAGGGGAAGTCACAACCAGGGAACGAAGGCACGCACCAAGAGCGACGTGGATAGCCCGGACCAATTCAGCCGCGTCTGCTTGCGCCGTGCTTGAAGCAAGGCGGGTGAACTGCTCCTGCCTAGTTGCATCGAGGTAGTAGTCGATCACTTCAGCCAGGGCTCTGGAGTAAAGCGCCGCGGTGTCTACCAGCTCAGCGACGAGTCCCGCAGCGAGCGCGTCATGCGACCTCCCGGGCCCCGCCGCATTCAAGAGTGCCGTCAAAAATGTACCGCTGTGCTCGTTCTCGCCGAAGATGCGCTTGAAGGCCGAGTCCGTGAGCCCAGACAACTGTGCGGCGTCAGCTGTGTCGTGCGGGGGAAGGACGGCTGCTTACAGAGACGCCGCTCAGCGCGGCGAGGTGGCCCTTGATCGCCTTGATGACGACCTGCGCGGCTTTGGATGCGCGACCGCGCAGGATGAACTCGTCTCCGGGCGGGATATCCAAGAACACATAGCTGTGTACGCGGCCAAAGGTGAGCCAGACGAGCGGTAACAAAGCATGCAGGCACGCGCACCTCGCTAGGTCGGCACACATCTCGACCAGATCCTGCCCCTGGTACTCACCGTGCGGGTTCTTGTCAGACTTCACGGACAGCCCGATCTACAAAACACGTATGACGCGTCAGCCTCGCGCCCCGGGGTCGCGACGCGAGATACTTACGACATTGTCCGCGAGCCAGAGGGCCGGTAGTAGGCTCGTGAGGTGCTTCACCACGTTGAGGTACCTCCCACTTGTCCCGACGTGTACGACGGACTTGCTCGCCACGAGCGCCTGCGCGCCGCGCGCCAGGCTCTGCGCCCAATTCTGCGCGACCGTGTCGTTGTCAAGGACACGCGCGACCTGGAAAAGCCCGGAAAGGTCAGCAATCCGTAATCAGTAACGCACGGCCAGATGCAAGCAGCAGGGACGACGCACCGTTGCTCGGTCAGGCACCACGTCGCCGAGGATGTCCTTCAGCCTTTGCTCGCTCGTCGCCGCCGCGTGGCCGTTGCTCGTCCCGTTTCCTACCCCGTTTCCATTATTCGCGCCCGCGCTGTTGGTCGCAAACGCTGCCAGTGTCACCTGGGGGACCGGTGCGGGCGTGGGCGCGGGACGTGCCCACGTATATTCGTCCGCCGAGTGCTTCGGAAGACGCTGGAGATACCCACGCATCGTGTTCGGGACCATGAATGGGAACCAGGCGTATGCGGAGCGCTCTGGGTAGAAGGCGGGGAGGGTACGGAAGAGGAGCTTGGGCAGGATTCCCCCAAGCGAGCCGTCGTTCTTCTTGTACATGCAGTCCTCGTAGCCCCATGAGGTCAGGTTGAACGCTGCAGACGGGCGTGAGCGCATGTGCACACAGAAGCAGAGCGGACGGACGTACGCGTAAAGTCGACGGTCAGGAAGCGGTCTCCGCGCGTGAGGCAGACCGCGTCTGCGAGGATGGCACGCGAGATGGTGAACCCGGGGCACAGGCCCGCGCCGGGCATCGGCCACTTGGTCTCCTCGGCCTGCAGGCCGACCTAGGAACCGGCGTTAATAAAGGATGACACGGCGCGCTAGCAACTTACGTGCAGCTCGAGATGGTTGATGTCGTGGTACAGCGCCTCGGCAGCTTTCTGGATCCGGTGAGATCAGCAAGAACTGTGGCACCAGCAGCGCATACTCACGTAGATTTTTGGATCTGGGTTCCACTCCTTGAAGTCGCTGTATGCTGTAGCCGGAGTGGTCAGATACGGGAAGTGGTGGGCGGACCGCGACGCGACTCACGCTTGAGGCCCATGAACTTCCTGAACTCGTTCAACTACAGCGATCGTGCTGTTAGTTTGCAGCGTGCGCAGGACGGCGCAAGCACACGTACCGAACATGCGCCCCATGTCCGCGCCTGCTGCATCGCGAGAACTTCGATGACGCGGAAGACCTCCGGGGTGCGGCGCGCGCCAAAGGCGCACGCGGGGGCCTCCGTTGCGTCATGCAAGATCTTCGCAAGGTCGGCTGCGCAAAAGGCATCAGACGCCGTTGCTCGGCTCGGCAGATGCGCACGTACCGTCGTTGTACCGCCCGTCGGGGCCACGCGTGAGGCTGCACAGCGCGAGGCGGTCAGCACCGAGCACTCACGCGCACGAGAGGAGCTGCTCACTTGTCAATGCGCCACTGGCGCACGTCCTGGGGGCGGTCGACGACGAGGCTGGTGACCGCATTTTTGAACGCGGCGGGGCGGACCTGGCCGTCTGGGGCGCCGGCAAAGACGCGTGAAAAGAGGCCCTCTAGCCAACGGGTGTCGCCCTCGGAGCTGGTGGCGTGCCAGCGGTAGAGAAGGTTGAACTCGAGCGAGACGACGTTGCCCTCGCCCTGTGGCGCGAACTCGTGCCCGATCTCACGCATCGTCTGTAGCCGTCGATCCGATCGGTGTGAGTGATCGAACCCGTAACGCCGAACGGCACAAACACAAAGGGAAAGTGGAAGAGAAGACGAACATCCGCGGGCGTCAGTGGCAGGCGATATAAAGAGACAGGAGACGCACCTCGAGGGGATTGAGGCGCCATTCGAGGCCGTCGCGAGTGAGGCCGAGGATAGCGCCGACGTAGTCGCCGAGGATGACCTGCATGAAAAATCCGGCGTTGACGAGGCGGGTGCGTTGGAAGATCTCCTCGTCCTGCGCCGCGCGGCGAACGGGGTCGAGCGAGTCTGGCTTTTTGTATGCGCCGAACTCGTTTATCGCGAGGATGCGCTCAGCGACGAACTGGATGCGGAGATCAGCGTGCGAAGAACCCGAGACTGGAGAGCGCACGCACGTTATGGTTTCGGCAGAAGAGGACAAGGAGGGCGCCGACGGAGGGGGGCATGAACAGGAGTCTGCCATCGGCAAATACGTCCTCCCAGAGGCGGCCTGTACCATCCTTCCCTGCGGGGCCGAAGGTCAAGGTGTGAGCATACGGAAGGGATTCGGGGGATACAGGCACACGCACTGCGCACAGAGTCAACCTGCTCCTGGCTGCTCCCATAGAGGGGAGAAAGATCGAGGTAAGAACTGACGTTGTTGCGAGTCCAGTCTGCAGGATCGGTGCTGAAAATACTGTGGATGACGAGGTCTGCAAACGCGAAAAAGAGGCTGGAGATACCGCCTGTATGCGAGGGTGAGGGACGAAACCGGGGATGGGCGTGCGAGAACTTACCGGGGTGCGGCTCGAAGGAATCGCGCTTGAGGAGGGTGTCGAATACAAGATCGGGGTCGGGAAGGTAGCACGGGGGCACAGGGTTTGTGGAGGGGACGGAGCGGGCGTAGGGGGAGCCAGCCATGCCAAGGGATGGTTGGAGGACGTTGTAGTTTGAGCCGTTGGCGGAGCGGAAGGCATACTTGATGCCCGAGAGAGGCGCAGGGCTGGTGGGGGGGACGGTGGTGGGGAGGGTGAGATAACCGCTGGGGGGATGGGGTAGGTCCTTGTACACTGTACGAGGGTTAAGGCATGAGGAGAAGGGATGAGCAAGGACTCACAGACGTCAATAGCAATCTGCTGGATACTTTTAGCAGCGGCATTGTCATCCGGTGCGCGGGCCATGAGAGTGAGGATGCGCTCGAGCTGGATGGGTACAAGGTGAGATGTGGAGACAAGAGAGCAGAGGGTAGTACTGACGAGGAAGTCGCGGTCGTTGATGCCGGGCCCGTTCATGTTTTTGAGTGCATTGAGGTAGGCAGGCTACCAGACAGTGAGTGGAGAAGAGGGGGGGAAAGAAAAGACGGACAATGTCTGCGGGGGTGAAGCCAGGACCGCGGATAGCGAACTGCTCAATTTCGTTGATTTTGCAGGTGATGATGTTAACGTGCTTGGGCGCGCCATCGTCGTCGACGGGGGCGTCGGTGTTGGCGACGAAGTTGACGAAGCCCTTGAGAGGATTGAGGACGGGGGCAAGGTTGACCTGCATGGTGGATGTGAGGGGGAGAGAAGGAGGGGGCGGGGCGGGG